TCCTTCCAGCGCTTCCTCCTTTACTTCGAATGTTCCATTAAGTTGGTTGACGACGAGGGCCGAGTCAGACTTGACCTGGACTTTGTGGGCGCCCGGCTCCTTAACCATGGTCATGCCGGCAATCACCGCTTCATATTCTGCAGCATTGTTTGTTTTTAAGGTGGCGAATCGCAGCGCGACCTCGTGCATCGCGCCTCCGGGGCTTATCATCACAATACCTGCTCCGGCGCCCGTACGGCTGGCCGCTCCATCGACTTGAACTTGCCAGCAATCGTGTGTCCCTTTCTCTGACTCTGCTATACCTTCTGCGACGAAGTCGGCCAGAACCTGGGCCTTGATGGCCGGACGAGGCGCATACCTGACGTCGAACTCACTTAGCTGGACCGCCCACTTGACAAGGCGCCCGGCCACGTCCATTGACCCCAACGTGGATTTTAAAGGGAGGTTGGTGAGGACTATGATGGTGGGGTCAACTTGAGAATAGAATCTACCTGCTTCGGGTTGGCCTCTATACCTCTTTTGGTGATCATGAATCCCAGAAATTTTCCTGCTTCGGCGCCGAACACACACTTGAGGGGGTTTAGACGAAGCCTATGCGCCCTCATGGCCTGGAACGTCTCCCGCAAGTCTTCAATGTGGCCTTCCCGTTTCCGGCTCTTGACTATGAGGTCATCCACGTAAGCTTCCACATTTTGGCCGATTTGCTGCCGGAAGACGTTGTTGACCATTCTTTGATACGTGGCGCCCGCGTTCTTGAGCCCGAAGGCCATGACCCGATAGCAGAAGTTTCCAAAAGGCGTCATGAAAGCTGTTTTGGGCCGGTCTTCTTTTGCCATGGGGATTTGATGGTAACCAGAAAACATATCCACGAAGCTCAGCATCTCGTGGTATGTCGTGGAGTCTACCAGTAAGTCTATCCGGGGCATTGGGTAGGCGTCCGTTGGGCATGCCCTGTTGAGGCTTGTGTAATCCACGCACATCCTCCAGTCGCCCGACGGCTTTGGCACAAAGACCACATTCGACAACCAAGTAACATAAGAAGTTTCTTCGACCAAGTTAGCGCCCATAAGCTTGTCTACCTCGACCCTAAGCGCCGCCTCCTTTTCTGGCGATAGGTTCCTGCGCTTTTGCTGCACGGGGCGCCTACCTTCCTCGACCGCTAACCTGTGAACGGCCGTTTTGGGTTTGACGCCCGGCATTTCCAGTGCACTCCACGCGAAAAGCTCTGCGAACTCTCTTAGGAGTGCGATGAGTCGTTCCATCATTTCGGCAGGCGCCTCTGCCGAGATCCTGACGCATCTTTCTGGGCGCCCTTCCTCTAGTGCTATCAAAAGTTCTTCGTCGGCAGCCTCAGCTCGAGGAGCCTCGTCTCCCACGACTTCCATCACATTGACTCTTGCATCGACGTGCCTTCGCTGGCGCCCAGTCTCCTTTGCGTAACGCGGGGCGCCCCGTCCTCGGGCCACGCCCACCCCTTGCGGGGCAATGAACTTCAAGGTTTGGTGACAAGTGGAGGCCACCCCGTTGAATAAGGCTAGGAGGGGCCTTCCAAGAATCGCATTGTACGGCGATGGGCAGTCCACTATCCCGAAGTCTATGGCGCGCGTCACCCTTTGCTCCCCATCTCCCAAGGTGACAGGCAGGCACACCCGCCCTATCACTCTGGCGGGCGCCCCCGAAAAGCCTACTAGCACAGACTCCAATGGTCTGATCATCTCTGGTGATAGTTGCATGCGAACCACCGTATCCTTGAACAGCACATCCATGGAGCTTCCCGTGTCGACCAACATTCTCCTCACTCTACATCCGGCTACTACCCCTTGTATCTCCAAGGCGTCCATGGACGGGAGCATACATGCTTCTTCCGGCCCTTTGTTGAAGCTAATGTCGATCGACTCCTGCACATCCGCCGACGCTGCCCTCAGTCGGCGATTTGCCTCTATCTTCTCTCTAAAATCCATTGTCCCTTAAATGGCTTCGATGGTCAGGCGCATGCGATCGGGCGCCTTTTCTTGATCCAGGTCGTAAGGTGGGGGTGGCAGCTCCTCCCTTGTCTTTACCACGCCAGCCACGCATGCCCGGTGTACTCTTTCTTCAGGCTTCTTGATGAAGTCATTGAGCATTCCTCTGTCAGCCAGACCCTGCAGCTCTGTTTTCAGCTGATAACAATCGGCCGTATGGTACCCAATTTCACAGTGGAAATCACAGTATCGGTCCAAGTTCCGCTCGTTGGGTTGTCCCCTCATGGGGCCTGGCCACCTGATGTGGTATCCCTTCTCCTTAACGTGCTGGAGCACGTTCTTCAGGGTGTTGTTGTACTCGGCGAAGTGCCCATCTCCCCTAGGCGCCTGGCGCCCCATATCATTTCTCCTTGGCGGGGGTTGGCTTGCGGGCGCATAGCCCGAACCACTCGGGGGGTACGGCCTACTAAGTACATCGGCTTCCTCCACTCTTGTCTTTCTCCGATCTGCCCTCCTGGCCGCTAGCGTCTCCTCCAGCATAATTACCTTTTGCACTCTGTGATCTAGGTCCTCTGTGGATACCACGTCTCTCTTTGCGAGCGACCTGCACAGCTCCTCACTGGAGGTGCACTCATTCAGGCACACTCCCAGCACCGACGACTGGGCGTCCTTTACCGCTAGGGCCACGGATAGCCACCTCTCATAAAACTCTCTCAATGCCTCTCCCTCCTTCTGCCTGACCTTAAACAGGGCGCCTATGGTCAAGGAGCTCCTTTTCCTGCTGGCAAATTTCGCTAAGAACATCGCTTCGAACTGTTCGAAGCAATCGATGCGCCCTTCATCGATCTGATGATACGCCTGAAAATGTGGACGGTAATACCTTGCACAGGGTGGCGTCCGTGCTGTTATAGAGTTGCATTTTGGTGAAATACCCGCTAAGGTGGTCCTCGGGTCTCCAGTTCCGTCATAGGCGGGGAGCGGGGGAATGTTTGTTCCTGCGGGCTCCGACAGTATACAACGTGCCAGAGGCTGCCTCACGGGGCAGTGGCGTGATAGGCGCCCCAAAATTCCTCCATTCCATCCGCTAGCATCCGGCCCCCCATGATCGCGTTGGCGCCATAGATTTGGGCGCCTCAGACACCCTGATTCACTCTCCGTCTCCTCCATCCTTTCCCTTTTTTTTGTCGGGCTGGGCGTCATCTTTCACTCCTCTTCAAGGCGTCCACTTCCCGCCGCAGCGCCTCGATTGCCTCGTCCTGATCCTCGATGATACGGAACAATTCTTTTTTCGTGACCGAGGCGCCTTCGGATCCCCGAAACATGCCATCACTTTCCTCACCTTCTTCCATCTCGGGCGCCTGCCCTCTCATTCGCTCCGATTGTTCCTCTGTAATTTCTTCCTTTTCTTCATTCATCGGCGCCTCTTCACTCATGACTCCTGGCTATATTCCCCTTCCTGGCGCGCCAATTGTTTGGGACACGTTAACCTCGTATGACTCTCCAAAATCCTCTCTCGCAAGGCGCCGGTCTGCACACACGAACAAGGAGGGGGCGCCTGGGCCCGTTAATCCTCCGACGCCCAAGTTAGTTTCTAGGAAGAGAGAAGTGTCTCAAAACTAGAGTTTAGTGAGAGAGAGTCCAACCTGTGTAAATGCTACCAACTGCCCCTATTTATACTCACCAGAGTTCGAGGTTGATCTTCTCTACCTCACTGTCTCCATTTAATGCTTTGTCCCTTTCTGGTCAGATATCCCAACCACCTTGTCAGGCTTCTGGCATGTAACAGGCGCCCGCAGACGCTGGACCACATGACAGCCTGGCCCCCTTTGGCTTCTAGTGACTTGTCCTTATGTGCCCTCCGCCTTGGTTGGGTCTTGCCCCCCAATTCGGCTGTTTGGAAGCCCAAGTTGCCGCCCTTTGGGCCTTGCTCATAATACCCCCAACACTCACTTAATGATAATTTGATTTTATATTGGTTAACCAATTAATCAAACCGATTAAACTTTAGTTTGGTTAATTTGGTTGTTGTATTAGTTTGGACGATTTGGTTATGATATTGTATTCCATGGTTAATGGAATTTATAGCCTTATTTGGTTTGGTAATAATCATGGTAACCATTTAAACACCCCTAACTCTACTATTAGTTTTCGTCCAACTCCGTTATTGGAGTCGGACGGAGGCTAACGGAGAGTGACTAATTGTGACATGTTTAGTAATTCGAGTGACATTCATAAAAAAAAAAAGTAATTCGAGTGACCGGAGTTGAACGGAGGTGGACGGAGGCTAACAGAGAGTGACTAAATGTGACATGTTTCAGTAATTCGAGTGACATTCATAAAAAAAGAAAGTTATTCGAGTGACCAAAGTTGGACGAAAGCTAACGGGAAAGTGACTAAATGTGACATGTTTTAGTAATTTGAGTGCCAAAATTGATATTAATTTTTTCGAGCAGTAATCTAGTGAGCAAATGTTGCATGTACCCTATTTTTTAATTCTCATAGGAATTAGCTTAAGAGAGGATTATCGCAGTTATAGTGTCAATGTCAACATGTTTCAGTTGTAAACCAACAAGCTACTCTCTATTACCCAAAGCTCTGTTGAGTATAATGCAAGGCATTCAACCAGTTTTAACTGGGAGATGCATTGTACATTAGAAATACGTCTTTCACTCTCCCTCATCGACGTACATAGAATACAGAGAAATCAACATGAACTCATTATTTGTCACCTCTATTGGCATAAATTTTTTTTCGATTTCAACCTAAGTTCTCATTCATCGAAATACAGAAAATGCAACATGAAGTCATTATTTGTACAGGGCACATGCAACGCTATTCATCCCTCCGTGAAGTTTAGGTCCCAATGCACCTCCCTCCTTATTTAGTGCTTCAGATGAAAAAAAATATAAGTAAAAACAGACCATAAACTAGGAAAGACGAGTTTCTTCTCACAGAGAAGTGAGAACTGATGTATACATAATAGTTACCCAGAAAGGTCGGGAATAAGCAGCGACGGCAGTTGCAATAAGGAGGAAGATGCTAATTCTGGAGCTGGGATTGGAAGATATCATGGCCAGAGGTTTGTGCAGTGACTGGGCACAGTCTGAGAGAAAAAGAATATGGCACGGCTGGAACTAAGAACTTCTCATGAACGCATGGTGACCAACTGTCATCCCCTCCCAAACCCATATGTTTATGGTCCAGATGCACCTAGAAATTCCAAACATCGCGACCGATTATTCAACACGAAGTTCCAGCTGAGGAAGAGTAAAATTTAGCAAGCAAGACAGCAAATTACCTCGATGTCGTTTCCTTGAACAAGCCTTTCATTATGTGTTGCCCGGTCAAGTTCAGCAGTGGAATAGTAACTAGCACTTAATTGCATGGGTGGGGAACTACCAAACATTGAGGCAAAGATTCCTACCCCATCCTTGTTCTGGAACGTTACCCACCTCACATCTGCCCTGCCGCCACATTCTCCTGGTACTATGTACGGAACATGCATGTCAGCTAACTTTTGTTCATAAACTCCAACATGAGCAGCCGCTTTCCTGTCTGGGTAGCACTCAAATGGCCCTCTTCCATACCATCTGACCTGGTCTATGGTCTTCTCTAAGTGCAACTCAACTCCAACACGGGGCAAAGGTGGTAATTCAGAACTCGGGGTTGCTTTGCACTCAACGATCATGTCCCCAGTACCATAGATAGTGTAGGTCATATTCACTTCAAACAGGGAAGTTGAACCATCCCCGTCACTTGGGACTCCCCTGTAAACCACTTCCAGTTTCACCAGATCGTTTGTTGAGTTCTGGATGGAACAACTCTTTGTCTGAAATACAACTGAGTCTAGATGAGCTGCTTTCCACTTGGAGTAGTAGCTGCGATCTTCCCCTCCTTTGTCATTGTCGGTAGGTGCTCTCCAGAAACATGGGAAGATTCCATTGATCATGACAGGAACTCCTTTAACCTGTGAATATTATTTTATGGGACGCAAAAATCACTATGAAGTTGAGCTCACTGGCTATGAAGATGTTAAATAGCATAAAAGCTGAGCAATGCTGCAGAAGGACATGAAGAAACAGACGCCTAAAACGATGCCAAACCTTACAAGAGATTTTGTTATAGCTTCTGCTTCTACTTTTTTTTTTTTTTTTTTTTTTTTTGAAGTACAGCAATTGCTAGTAAAACTGTAAAAGTGAAGTAAAAGTGTCTGGTGGGGGTTTAGAAAAACATTTAGTTAGTATGATAGGCTTCTGTAGTGAAAAAGGAATTGATGAGGTTTGTTTAATAATAAAAACGAGTGAATTTTTGGAAATGACAAATATTGCTTGTATGTTACATATATAACTTTTTTGTTACTTTGTACTTTTTGTAAGAGTCAAATCTATGTGACCATTTAGATCAATTAGCCGTTTTATGTCATTTTTTTTAAGCCGAAACAAACACAGCCAAAGTGCTGCATTATGAGATTGATCAAGTCAATGGGATAACCTGAAAGCAATTAACGAAATCACCAAGTGCAGATGTTCACCTTCCAGCACGTAATTGCTCCACTCGATTTGTTGAATGTTACCTCCCAAACACTCTGATGGCTTATAGTGATGAAGTCCTCAGCAACAACGGTGGAGAGCATAGCAACTTTAGTCTTGAGGGCCTGGGTCCAAATCATAAAGCAAATCAGTTGCAAGGAAGATAGTAGGAAAAGATAAAATTTGGACCAAGAAAAATAATCTACATGAGGTAAGATCGATTTTCTGCCAGGCAACTGTAATTGGTTGGAGGAAACGATGTGACCGGCTTCCAACCATCGTGTAGACTGCAAAAGCTTAGCTGTTATGGTCAGGAAGAGCTCTCCAGCAGTTGATGAATTCCATAGGGAATACCATGGACCTGACTCCCAATCCACTTCACAACTTTTCTGAGGTTCTATCAGGGAAAGAGAGAGTTTTCCAGATCCAAGTTCAATTCCATCACCATAAGCAGCCCAAATGAACTCCAACAGTTGTGTAGTATCAAAGAAATTAGTATTTGTTATCTGCAAATTAAATCTGGGTTAAATGTAAAAAAGAGAAGGGAGCCAGGATGAGAAATGACGAATCTAATTGAAATACTTCAGCATAAGAACCTTCAGCTTGCCATCCTTTAGTGAAATCTTAATTGGTTGGTACACGTGTTTCACTTCTGCAATCAGAAACCACTACACCATTAGTCAGATGTTATAACATTTGATCAATGAGGGGCTCAAAATATGACACAAGATCCATTATACCGTGCACAGCAGGGTGAGGAGTTCTATCAGGCCACATAAAACCATTCAGACAGAAATTCAAATCATTAGGTGTATCCCCAAAATCTCCTCCATATGCCCAATGTTTACAACCATCAGTAGATTCTTTCAGTAATCCCTGCAGATAAATTGTGAATGTGTCAATCTCACAGGTGGAAGGTATCGATCTTAATGATGTGTCCAGCTCCAGCATCATCTTCAGGAATGAGAAGGAACGGAGTATTTTTTCCTCAGCCTCAACCTTTAGTCTCTCTAATCTTGCGGCTCAGCTATAAAGATCACCATAGTTGCATATCCTATGATCCAGAACTTAATTCATTCCAACCCCACTTAACGTAGGAATATTATTTATGGGTTTCTTTTAGGCACTTCATGCCCTGTCGGTACTATGAAAAGATTTCAAACACGCCCCTCTACTAAGAGTTTGAACTTACACATCCTCCACTAAATCTTTACAATGATGTCTTTCTGTCAAGTTTTTCATCACATTCCCATCAAGTATGAGTCAGACAGACACGTCTGCCCTATAGAAAATGGGCGGGATCCTGTTTTCTGGTACAATAAGGAGTGGCAAGAAAATATGATTTTATATTCTACATCAATCACTTACCGTTAAAAAAAAAAAATTCACTCACCGTACCAAAGGAAATAGAAATGAATTCCATACCTGGTCAACCCAGTCCCAGATAAAGCCTCCTTGGAGACCAAATGTGTTATCGATCGCCTCCCAATATTCATCTAAGCTCCCATTGCTGTTCCCCATAGCATGTGAGTACCTGCCATTAGGACATGACAGATGCCCGTAAGTAGAACTAAAAGAACACAAAGGGAGAGACACAACCATTTGATGCATTGCCAAGGAATTCATTGAAAAGCCAAATTGAGGTTCCTCCTCTGATGGGGAGAAACAAAAAATTTCCAAATAAATACAGGAATCTTACTCGCAAAGTATCAAAGGACGCAATTCAGATGGATCTTTTGCAATCTTCACTATGTCCCAAACACGCATATACATGGGGCATACAATATCTGTAGATGAAGTTCTAGATCCCCCTCCTTCGTAGTGCAACAACCTTGAGGTATCCTTTCCTCGAATCCAACCTGAATGGAAGATTCTACTGATTCAAGAACACAAAATGCACGAGGAACCTAGACAGGAAGATAAAAGATAGCAAATGGAGATTGAAATATAACAAGATATATGCTTTTAGGATATTGTGGAGATTCTTCAACCATGTACTTGGACAATTATGCTGACATCACTAAAATTTTCTGATCGAACCAAAGCAAGCCAGGAGCCCTTCAGACATAAACATCATGATTCTTTGTGAAGAAGAATTACTTCCCTTGATTTTGATAGCCACCAACTAAGTTTTCTGATTGATCTAAAGCCAGCCAGGAACTCTTCAGACATAAACATTTTCCCTTTAGTAAACAAGAATTACTTCCCTCAATACCACAGCTACCTATTGTCTCCCATTGGCTTTACCTCGTCAAAAATAAATTTCAATCCTCCTTCAAACTTAAGTTTGTCTTACTTAAACTGAAATCTACAATAATGAATCATCTAATACCATTGTATCATTTTGGTTACGTTTCTTAGTGATGTCAGCAGGAAAGATGCTTATGCCAGATTGACTTCTAGAATCTATAGATAGCGAGTTTTCACTTTACAAATTTTAGACAATTACTTATAATTCATGTTCTTTCTAGAAGCATGCCCCAGGAAGATATAGAGGATTTTTTTATTGAAAGAGATTGAACAACTTTCTGTCAATTTCCAAATGTAGCTTCATTCTACGGTTTGTCTAATTTATCCAAAAAGCACATAACCTTACAAATATTAAGCATATGTGTTGGTAAGATATAGGCACCTATTAAGCATCCCTTTGGTTACCTGCTGCAGCAGAATGATTGGGTCCGTATGAGGACTCATTTCCTAATGACCAAGATATTATACAGGCATGATTTTTGTCTCTCTCTACCATGCCTATCACACGATCCACCATTGCATTAGACCAACCACATTCCATTGCAGGGGGCATCAGATGTCCAGAGAGATGAAACCCATGAGTCTCAATGTTAGCTTCATCAATCATGTACATGCCAAAGAGATCGCACAACTCATACCAGCGGGGGTGTTGGGGATAATGGCTGTTTCTCACAGCATTAATATTGTATTGCTTCATAAGAACAAGATCCTGCGGAGAGAGGATAGTAAACGTACCCAACACTTTAATCTACTTCAATTTAATAGTCAAAGTATATAAGAAACAGATAGGATAAGACTAAAACATCACCTTAACCATGCAAGACTCTATGTTAGTTTTCCCAACACGCGGATGATGTTCATGCCTGTTTACACCTCTTATCATGACTGGCTGCGCATTAACAAGTAATTGTTTGGGGGCCTTTGAAACTTGTCGTATGCCTACCACACATGATTCACAGTCCACTATGTGCCCTGATGCATCTTTGAGGGTGACAACAAGAATGTACAGGTTTGGCTGTGAATGAATAAAACTATATGTAAGCCATAATGAAAGCCATACTAGAAGGCCAAACAAAGAAAAGAAACAGAAATTTTCTCAGGCTCAAACTACTTTTTGAAATAGCATAAATTGTATTTATAAGGCAAGCAGGATAGCTTTGCAGCTCCATATGTTGCGCAAAGTATGTGAAACCAGCCAGTGAGGTAATAGAAATGCAGCAGACTGCTTTAGTTTATTTGAGCACACTCCTCACCTGCTCGGCGGACCAAAGTTTTGGCATGTCGAGCTTCCCAGAGAGTGTATAACCAACAAAACCCAAAATAGCATCAGATGAGGGAATGGTGGTCAAATTAACCACAATATTTGAAAGCAGACCAGAACCATCACTGGTATACCAGCTCCCAGTATCATATAATGCAGCATTTATGCTAAAGCTGACACAAGGGTCATCCTTAGGACTTGCTCTGGAGTTGTCTATTTTCACTTCGACCTGCATAAAAGCAAGGAGGTCACTCAAGAGTCTTTGAATAAGAACTAAAAGTGGAGCAAAATTTGGCATCGAGAGCACAACACTCAAGAGTCATCAACAAACATGGAGAAGCATTCCAGAAGAAGTGACAAAAATAAAATACCATAAATATTCTCCACCACTGACTAAGCAAATAAGTTATTAGACCCAGCGCATTGCATATCACTTCGTAGCTTAACTGCAAGTGAAAAAAAATAGTAATCTTCAAATTGGTAGTCACCTGAATATCTGAAGAAGAAAAATTCTCAGCCAGGCTTGACTTGAAAAAGTAGTCCGCAATGAACACCTGTACATAATGTTCAAAATGTTACCTTTTTGTTTAATGACACCAAAGAGACAGGACCAAAACCTTATAACAGATGTGATTCTTTAGTTGTGTATAATAACCTGTGGTTTGGCAAGAAGAAGCACATCACGATGGATACCAGATAACCACCAATGATCTTGATCTTCAAGATAAGATCCATCACTCCACCTAAGCACTTGAACAGCCAAAACATTCTTCTCTTCTGACCCAATTGGATGGCAGTTGTCTGATATTTCAAACTCAGCAGGTAACCTACTATCCTGACTGGGGTAGAGTGTCGGTAAGAAGGCTAGTGAAGGCTAGTTACTGAATAAAGCATGACAGCTTTGTTGAACTTCTTGAAGCATATCAAACTACATAATCGAGTGGGTTTGTGGAAAGCAACTACCTCCAAATTAAATAATAGTTTGGAATTTGGATTCTATGTTTGAGTCGTGACAAGGAGAGAATAAAGGTATATGATATGGAGTGCATACCTATATCCCACGGGCATGCCATTTATCCAAGCAATAAAAGCAGAATCAACAGCCTCAAAGTGCAAGAAGATCCTACGACCTGAAAATGCAAGCCGAAAAGCAAAAGAAAAGTTAGCAGGGCATTATACAGGAAGATATAGAGACAAGCAACTGCAAAGAATCTTGCAAAGAGAAAAGGGAACACTATAGTTGTTACCCTCCCATTCTTTAGGAATTTGGAAGTATGTTCTGTAACAGCCTGTAGGATTATCATCCTGTGGAACATGTGGAGGGTCGAGAGGAAATGGATATACGACATTTGTATATATAGGCTTATCAAATCCATGCATCTGCCAATTTGATGGTACTGTTCCAGCCAGTGGAGGATCAAAAACATTAGGCATGACATGAATTTGTCATAACATAACTATAAACAGATCAAACAATAAAAAAGATTTAGCCAATAATGTTCCTGTTGCTTTATGGATGATTATGATCTCAGCTTTCTGCAAAGAATGAAATTTATTTTATAATGATTACCATTCCAGTAATTCTATAATGCTAAGGATGTACCTTACCTGGTAACATGCCCCACTCAGCATCCTGAAATGCAACATCATGGAAAGCAGGTGGAACTTTGGCAGGGCAGGGAGCAAGGAAAAATTTCCAGAAGCCAGACAAAGACTTCACATAAGGCAAATCCTTGACCCACAAGGCAGCAGAATCAAGAGCTGCTTGGACGGCATCATCATCCCAAACAGAAGACTCGGATACCGAAAGATCCACTTTGTTACGCTGATGCCAGTATTTTAAGGACCCTGTTCACAAGCAAGATTGCCATATTGTCATTACCCCGAGAAAAGACATCACAAGGATAATAAGAAAGGTAGGAGAGGAGAGGAGAGACAACACATCTCATAGCAAAAGATCAACTTTTCTGTTAGTTTGTTAAGTATCAAAATTCCCAACTAGATTTAAACTCGTACTTCAGAAGAAGGAAGTCTATTTTATAATAAAATTATCATTCCAGTTATTCTTCAATACTTCATGTTGACCCATAATAACCCTGTTTCACCATTTTAATTCAATGTAAGAGCACAGTACGTGAAACCGGGCAAAACAAGAGGTATTTCAGTACAGAAGTCAATCCAATCCACAAACGAAACCATAATTCCCATCAAATAACCGCGAAATTCGCCTATCACGCAAAGGGAAAAAAGAGGTTCCTTCAGGAACAGAAATTTCAAAGCGACAACCTTCAACAGATTCATGGCAGCGCAAAGGCACGTGAGGTTCTCTCTTCCTCCACTTTATAAAAGAGGGATCCTCCCAAACTCTGTGGGACACATCTTCAAACGGAAAACCACCCATCTCTGCGAACCCAACCAACAGAAATCAAGGATTTTAACACCATCAATGCCTCTTTTTCATTCTCGTTCAAGAATAAGTGAACAGAATGGAGGAATGGAGTGTGAGAGGAGGAAGCTAATTACCTGGGCTGGGTAGTGAAAATGAAGTCTGTAAACGGCGATCTGTGTGCTCTGGAACGTAACTTGACTGTGGAAAGATCCGGGAGGAAGAGAGCGATTGAGGCGTGGCTACATAACTAAAATCAGAAGAAGGATGAACACTTGGATAGAAAGAGTGAGAGTGAAAGTGAGTGAGTTGATGACGAGGACGACGACAACTTCGTCGTTTTGGGCTTTGTTTATTTTTCCTTGGCGTTGAATACAACTTCCACCCTACAGCTTCACCATGAAATCCTGCACAGGTGTATGAAGAGATCGAATGGGGCAGTTCAGAAAACTGGTTTTGGATCTGAATTTTCCCGAGCATTGGCATCAACGTACGAGTCCCAAGAGTCGGAAGGTGTTAGTGCAGGCCGGGAGCTCCATTATCCGTCTAGTGAGTAGTGATTGATCCCACTGACTGGAAGCGACGTCGTTATAGTTTGTCGTCCAAGGACCGGGCAACCCCACCGTGCATTACTTTGCTTGGTGGAGCTGGGATCAGGATAGACTCTTGTGTGATAGATGAATAACTAGCTAATGCGTGCGTAATTAGGTGTGGGTTTTTTTATTCATAAATCATAATCGATTGTTTATAGCATTGATGATTTATCAGAAAGTGCATTGTTATAAACGCGCTGCGGATCTGGAAATCGCCGGAATCGATAAAGCGAGAATATAAAAGTGAGAATCGAAAAACACAGACATACGATTTACGTGGTTCACTAACACGATGTGTGTTAGCTAGTCCACAGGCGAGAGAGAGTCAGTTTCACTATATCGAGGAGATTACAAATTACAGTGGAGTATGAGAAGTATTTATAGTACTTCTCTATGTGGGTCTAAACCTAATTCGATCTGGCAAAGGAAACGATTACAGACCAGACCCAAAACCTGAACCCAAATAACATTGAGCCCATACACCGCGGGCTGGGGCGTTGCCCCGGGACCCCACTCGCTGCCCGGACAGCGAAACCCCCGACTAATCCAGTCGTAGCGACTGATAGTCCGATTCAAGTCACATCAACAAATCTCCACCTTGACTTGAATCCTCTTCCTCTGAGATCTCTGATGTACTCTGATCCTTCTCTCTCTCTCTCCCGCCATCAATGCCTCGTAGGGCGGAGTCACCCACTCAAGACATTCAGCATGTCCAAGCAGTGTTGGAACTTGCCATGTGGAACCGGCTTCGTGAACATATCAGCAGGTTTACATGCGGTGCCAACCTTTTTCACCTTAATCCTCTTCTGTGTCCTCAAGAAATGATATCTTACATCAATGTGCTTAGCCCTCTCATGGTGGACTTGATCCTTGCCCCTTGGCCAAGCATATTGCACTCAAAATGTCGCAATACACTACTGCCTGATAGAGATGGCAATGGGGCGGGTTTGCTTAAACCATCCCCATACCCATCTTCAAATACCCAAACCCATACCCGCCCCATACCCATGCGGGGGAATGTTTTGCAAACCCATCCCCATACCCGTGGGTTTCGGGTACCCATGGGTAATACCCATACCCGTACATCGAACATTATTATACCTAAAACTTACAAGAAAAGTTCTAATTATAACTCTAAACGAACATATTATATCATGAAGTCAACAAAACACGGTCATTTTTTTAATATGGTTCAAAGATTATGATCCTAAAATATCCGTTAATACATAATATAGAGTATAATATTTTTCAAATTATTATGTTCTAACTCTGATACATCTACTCAATAATAATTAACTAACATAATCTTGTTGACAAGGGGGAAAGTGAAAGAGTGAAATGAGAATTGAGAGAAATGAATTAGATTTTGATTAAGGTGGTCACTCAATTGCATTTCTACTATTTATTTTCTCAAGTTATCCTCATCATCATTGATAGATTATAATTTGATGCACATATTTTTTTTTATATATGAAGAAAGTATCTTGGTGGGGCGGGTATGGGGATGGGTATGGGGCGGGGAAGGCTAAAACCATACCCGCCCCATACCCATCAAACTTTTTGCGGGTTTTACTCATACCCGCCCCATACCCGGTCAAAGCGGGGATTCCCTGCGTTGACTGGGTCGGGGCGGTCGGATACCCGCGGCCATGGGTTTGATTGCCATCCCTACTGCCTGATCATTGATGAGGTCATCAAAACAAAGTCCATTTCGTCCCAAGAAGGGCCAATTACACGTCTACAAGCAAAGAGGTTAAGGGAGGAGTTTGCTCCCTATTTGGATCGTCACTTTGCTCAAATGCATGTGGATCATCATCATGGCAAGACCATTACATTGCTACAACTCGTGGGCCAGCATGAAGGAAGAATGGGCTTGGAAGGAGAAGAGGATTCAGCTAAGGAAGATGAAGGGAGTCTCAAGTGTGAAAAGGATCAAGGTGGGAAAGGAATCAAAGGTGGTAACACAAGGTAAGGCTAGAACCTAGGGAGTTGTTGACCAAGTCTTTTACTTGTCTTTTAAGGATAGTGTTTTCCTTTTATTTGTCTTTTAAGGATTGTGTTTTTTCCTTTTACTTGTAGGATTTGTTTTTCATTTTAAGCTTTGGATTTGTGTTAGCTAGTCTATAAATAAGAGGCTGAGTTCCTCATTGTAACTCATTCAATTATCAATCAACTTTCAATTATAAGTGAATACGAACTAGTTCTTTGTGAAAGCTTCTGTTGAGAGTGCTCCAGGAGTTTCACGTGTCTCTTATCAACTAGAGGACGCGTCTAGTTGTGGCGAGCTTCTACCCAATAGCGATTGGCCTTATTCACGAGTGGGTGATTGTTTGATTGGTTTCATATACCAATTGGCCTTTCACACGAGTTGGAATTTGTTTGATCGTTTTCCATCATTATCTTTTGTTCGAGTTCTTGTTCGTTGGAGAAAAGCTTCGAAAACCCATAAAAAGTAGGAAAGCTGCGTACTTTGGTCACATCAATGATGTAGACCCAGATCACCAACCAGTCCCTTCAACTATAATCCCTCCTTAGCTGCTTCTGTCAACACCATATACTCTGCCTCAGTCGTAGACAATGTAACCGCGATTGCAAAGTTGCCTTCCAGCTCACTACAGAACTCCCAGGCGAGAATACTTAATCGGTCATCGATCTACTCGTGTCAACATCTCCAGCATAGTCCGAGTCAGAATACCCAGACACCAAGCACTCTGTATCATTTTCGAAGCTAATCCCCACATAGGTGTACCCTTAAGGTACTGGAAGATCCTCTTCACAGCCTGCCAATGCTCCTTCCCAAGTTGTATCATGAACCTACTGACAACACTAACAACATGTGCAAGATCAGGTCTAGTGCATACCATAGTGTACATCAAGCTACCTACTGCACTAGCATATGGGACTCTCAAAATGTACTCCTTCTCAGCCTTTAACTGCGGTGCATAAGCTAAGGATAGATGAACATTTGAAGCACTAGTATTTAAGGGCTTTGCTGAAGACATGCCAAACCTCGACAGTATCTTATGGATGTAGCTCTTCTGTGATAAGAAAAGCTTCTTCTTCGACCTGTCCCTGTAAATCTCCATACCCAAGATCTTCTGAGCAGCTCCCAAATCCTTCATTTCAAACTCAGCACTGAGAAAGCCCCTTTAACTTCTGGATATCAGACTTCAACCTCGCAGCTATGAGCATATCATCCACATACAGAATAAGATAGGTCATCGAACCATCATCCACCTTGTTGTGATACACGCAACAATCATAAGGACTTCTGCTATAGCCCAGCTTAAGCATGTAACTGTCAAATCTCTTGTACCACTGCCTCGGAGACTGCTTAAGTCCATACAAGGACTTCTTCAGCTTACAAACATAGTCTTCTTTTCCTGGAACCTGAAATCCTTGTGGCTGAGTCATGTAAATTTCTTCCTCCAACTCTCCGTGTAGGAAAGCTGTCTTCACGTCTAGCTGCTCGAGCTCCAAGTATAATGTTCCACTATTGCTAGTAGCACTCTAAATGAAGTATGTCTGACCACTGGCGAGAAAATCTCATTGTAGTCAACTCCTTCCCTCTGCAAGAAGCCTCGTGCAACCACCCAAGCTTTAAATTTCATGCCCTCTTTAGAAGTGATTCCTTCCTTCTTCTTGTAGATTCACTTGTTTGTAACAATCTTCCTTCCCTGTGGTTGTTTGACTAGCTCCCAAGTCTGATTCCTTTCATGGGATTCCATCTCATCTCCCATTGCGGCAAGCCATTGACCAGCTTCACCACCCGAAATGGCTTCTCTATAGGACTGTGGCTCACCTACATCCACTTCTTCAGCAACCTAACATGAATACGCCACCATGTCCTCGAAACTATACCTCTCTAGAGGTACTCCTGCAGTCGCTCTCTTCGGTCTACCAGAAGCTATAGACTGTTGAGCTCCTGCACTGGACTTTGAAGTTTCTGGCTCTGTAGAAACATCCTCATGTTGATCTTCTCCACCTTGGTGCTCGAACTCACTCTCATTGAGAGTTTGCAGCTCCACCTTCTTATCAACATTCCTGCTACCTTCAACAATAGTAACCTTCAACATGGGGTTATACATAGACTTCTCATCAAATATCACATTTCTACTGAGTATAATTCGATACTCAAAAGGTGACCAGAGTCGAAATCCCTTAACTCCATTTCCGTAACCCACAAATACACCCTTCTTTGCCCTTGGGCTCAGTTTACCCTCATCCACATGCTAATAAACAGGACACCCAAAAACTTTCAGTGAAGAGTAATCAGCAGGCTTACCATACCACACTTCATAAGGAGTCTTAAACTCGATACCTGTGTGAGGTCCACGGTTGATCAGGAAGCACGCCATGTTTACTGCTTCTGCCCAGAATCTTCTCTCTAGTCCAGCATTAGAGAGCATGCACCGTGCTCTCTCCAACAATGTCAGGTTCATCCTTTCTGCAACGCCATTCTCTTGAGGTGTATCTCTAACGGTCCGATGACGGGCAATCCCTTCATCCTTGCAGAATTGCAGAACTCCAGACCATTTTTCGTTCGCAGCTTCTTAATCTTCTTCCCAGTCTGATTCTCCACCAATGTCTTCCACTACTTGAACTTCGTGAAAGCCTCACTTTTCTGCTTCATCGTGAAAATCCAAGTAAATCTCGAATAATCATCAATGATAGACAGAAAATACCTGCTGCCACCAATGGATTCAACTCGTGAAGGACCCCAACAGTTGGAGTGGAGGTAATCCAGTATCCCCTTCGTCCGGTGGATACCCTTCTTGAGAAACTTGCTGCGATGTAGCTTCCCAAACACACAATGCTCTCAGAATTCCAAATTATGCACCTTGTGCCCGCAAAGAAGATCGCTCTTTGAGAGAACTTGCATCCCCA